TCAGTTTTCCAGCCCTTCTGTCCCTTCTGGAACAATCAGATGACCTCCGGGCCCACTGTGTGTCCCTTCCCTGGCCCAGAGTCAGCCTTTTCTCCAGGGAACCTGTCCTGTGAGTTGGGGGAACAGGTGTCCAGAGAACTTTTTGTTGTTCCTAGAATGTATCCCACCGACAGACCGAAAAGCTATGTGACGTGCGTCTACAGCCCTCTTTCCGATCACAGTCAGCGTTAGGGTTTGCTGTTCTCATTTGTTTTACGTTTCCGCTTTCTGAATAAGTAAAACGTTTATATGGTTCAAAGGTCGAAACTGTAAAAAGGATTTCTCAGAGGACTCTCCTGTCCCCTCCGCCCCCTGCTACTCATCCTTCCGAAGGTAAACATTTTTTATTAGTTTTTCTCTTATCTTTCCTGTTTCTTTTTTTGAAAAGAAACACAAGATCATATATATTCATGGATCTGACACCACAGATAGAACATTGCATGGAATCTTTGGCAATGTGCTTGAAAAGCCTATTTTTTGGTAATCTCATCTAAAGCACTGTGCTTTTACCTTGAGGTATCAGTGGGCTGAGAGAACATGCTAATAAAAATGGACCAGGGGACGGAACTGCTTGCTACTGGAGGTTCCCCCGCCATTCCAGCAGCCTAAATAACTCCCCAAGGAAGGGCGCAGGGTCAGGTGGGACCGACCCTCATGTCTCAGGAACTAAATTCCTATTTACTTCTGAACACCAGCAAAATCATTTCTGTAGTTGCAAATGTTTTCAAGGGCATACTGAAGACCCAGAGCCCAGGGAAGGGGCAGCTGCAGGAAGGAAAAGAGAAATAATCAACAGCCCAGCTGTGGTTCCACGTTCCTGGAAACAAACAGCATAGGAAAATGGAGATGTATAGAAAAGCGAAACGAAGGGTCCGTGTTTATTTTGATCGAGAAATCTTTCCTTTAGAAAACCTTCGCAGGATCCTTTCAAGTCGTTTGTTTCTCTAGTGCATTGAAAATGATTCAGTCTTCGAAAACCTGAGTCACATTGTTTTTTCCAGAAACACCCCTGCGTAAAGCAACACATTTCCCTGTAGTATCTAAAAGTGGAGACTTTTAAAAAGTAAAAAAAGGGTTGTAAACCTGCTGCCGAGGGTTTTGGCTGCTGAGCAGTGTGAGGGGGAAGGGCGGGGGAAGGAGAAATTAACCAGAAATTGTTCGTTGTTTTAAGGGCCATGAGAAGGAAATTTAATATTTTTAAATTTTTTTTTTTCTCACTACGTCTGGAAGGTTCCATATTTCAGGCTGGTTCATAGTTATAGGTGAAATGTACTGAAATGGAGCCACATTGCTGATATTACAATGCAGGTTAAAGGCTAGATTTGAAATAAGATCACTTATTCCTTCTCAATGACCTATAAAACTTGAGTGACCTTAAAATCTAAACAGAGTGAAAAAAAAAACCCATTCCAATCAGGTTCGTGGTCCTAAGATCTTCATAAATTCAGTAACACTTGAACATCACCTGTGAGAACCATAAAACAATGTTTTGAATGAGAACCATAAAACAATGTTTTCAATGAGAACCATAAAACAATGTTTTGAAGTCTTTCTCTCGATATGCTGGGAACACGCAGTAAACGTGCTCTACCAACTACTATTTTTAAAACGTGGTTTGTTCCATGACCAACTCGGCAGCTCAGGAAACCCACTGTATACACCACGGGTTCCCGTCTTTCTTTTTCTTTAAATGAGAGGCTACCTTCCATTTCCTGACCCTCTCGGGACCGCAGAAAGGGAGGATGGGAGGAGCGCGGGGAACGGCCGTCGAGACCAAGGCTCTCTAGGGTGGACTGTGGAAATCTGAGGGGACAAAGTGACAGAGATGGCGGCCAGCTCGGGAACTTACCAAGTCAAGGGGCACGATCTGCTGGTGTGCCCGCACCCCTGCTGGTGACATCCGCGATGCGTGGCGTTTGCATCCGCGAGGCCCGACGCAACTACTGAAGTTCTGGGTAAATTTAACTATTAGCATGAACCGAAGGTGCTGTCATTGTTTAACTCAGCCGACCTTTCGAATGGATGACCAACCTTGAGGCTTAATTGGATTTTAAGGAAAAAAAATCAATTTCTAGTCGTGGCCTGGTGTGGAAATGAAGTGCTACGTTTGTAGAATCACTTTTGCTCAGGACTATTTTTTTTTTTATTATTATTTACAACTTTAAAATGACATTATCCATCTTACTAGGTGTATGTATATGTACACGTATACGTACCTTTTCTAAACAACCACAAAATACACACATACGCACACCAAGTCACATCACAAAAGAATCATTACTTTCTGTTCAGCAGCAGGCTTAGTCATCAGCCACAATCTCTTCACACCAATTACACGAAAACCTGAGCCAGGGATAATGACATACCAACTGTTTGCAAATCTTGCTTAGCTTCGGTCGAGTCTAATCTTTGTAATAAGAAAAAAATCCTTGAGGAAGCTTTTCCCAAATCACATCTTGACCATTAAATCTTTCTTGAAGAAGGTCATTTAATTTTATGCCCAGAAATGAACAATCAAAATGGCATAAGCATAAATAGTACTGGCCTGGAAATGAGAAAGATGGACGATTCTCGTCCTAGCCCTGGGTTATCCAAGCCGTGGGACCTCGGCAAGCCCGCTCCTGGGTCCCCATTCCTCCGTCTGGAAAAGGAGGAGGTTTGGGGGTTGCTCTCCTTACCTGACAGTCGATGAAAATGGAGGTCTGTTAGGGTGTCCCAAGCCACAACACCAGGTTAAAAAAAACCCACCAGATTCCCTGAGCACTTCCTCTGAGAGGACAAACGATGCAAACCCGAGCCCCTTTGCCTCCACTGCGACGTGTGTCAAATGAGAGAGACCGTGATTACCAATGGCAGAATTTGGATGATTAGCTAAAAGCAATTTTATAATAGTAGTTGACAGACAGAAAATGCTAGACCCAGTGGTCCCCTCTGAGCCCGGTTTCAGTGTGCACTGTGTTGAATGGAGCCTCATTGAAATGGTCCATTTTACCTAGACTCTGGAGCTGAAGTAGAGGCCCACATAATTGTCCTGAGCATTCAGGACAGTCCAGAGAGCTAATGTGAGTGACTGGACAAATGATTACTTTGTTTCTTTTGCCTCGATTGACCAGGGAATTGTACAAAAGTCTCTGCCATTTGGCTCTGTGGAACGTCCCTTTGTGTCATAAGAAGACTCAGCCGTAGACTGGCAGAATGACGTCAAGGGCGGCGTGGAGTCGGGGACAGGACACACATAGCACACGGCTGACGCCCACTGTCTAAGTCCTGACTCTGAGCCACTCGCAGACGAGCTGGAGTCTGTCTGCGTGCCGCCCCGAGCCCTCACGAGTTCCCTCTAAGACTCATCACGCTGAAGGAAGGGTCTTTTCCTTCGATTTCGAAACAAAACTGAAAAAAAATATCAGGCAACCAGGTTATGGTGGGCATCTAGGCGGTCAAGGGAGCACTGAGAGAGAAAAGCAGGAGTTTTTAAAGGCTGACGGTGGAAGCCCGTGTACGCGTAGTGCCAAGCTCCAAAACGCAGCCCACGTCAAAGGAAGCAAATCTGCCCACCTGCGTCTCGGAGAAACGTCAGTGAGCCAGCACCGCCCACCCGCTGGCCTGTCCTCCCTACACCCTACTGTGAAGACATGTCAGCCAGGTCTCTCTAGGCAGTTCCGTTCTGGCCACAGTCAGGGGTCCCAATGATCAAAACCGAGCCCGCGCGCAGAGGAGCACGCTGCGCTTCCAAACGCAGGCACGGACTCCGCGGGGCTGGGAGGGCGCCCGCTGAGGCCACGCAATGGAGACAGCCAGCCAGGGACTTCTCGGCTGCTCAGACTTTCGCTTGGTTCCCTGCAGTTATCAGGGCACATCTGCACCCAGCCCAGTCCCGTCGCCTGGGCGTCCAGAAGGACCTACCCGGCGGTCCTCGCTGCCACCCCTCCGGGCCGGTCACGCCTGGGGCCGGGCTCCGAGCCTGCCAGCTCTTGCTCGACAGGGAGCTTCGGAGCCCATCAGTGCACACTCGTCACGCCGTCTCAAGGATGGGCGTCGGAAACCCAGGAGGGAAAAGGCCACGAGGTCCCCGCACAAGCAACACTGCCCGCCCCGCAGGGCCCACACGGCCGCACACGCCGTCTCGGTCACGGCAGTCCTCGCCAGCGCGGGGGACGGCTCGGATGCCACTGCTGGGCCAGAATGTTCCTGAAGCCTGTGGAAGGCGTCTTTCCTTTCACGGTGGATCTGAGTCTGAGACTGAGCCAACGGCTGATGCGCGGCGGGGGGATCGACGTCTGGTGAGAAAACAGGCTGCGGGCTCGGTGACAGGAGGCTGCCTCCGTGTGGCTTCTCTTCGGGCTTTGGGACAAGGAAGGGCCATGAGCCTCGCAGGTGAACGCCCAGCTCGCCACGGCGACTGCGTGGAGAGACAGCGCCTGCTTCTGTGCGTAGAGACCCTGGTCTCGCTTTCGGCTGCAGAAAGCGAGACCGTGGCGCCCTGACAGCCCCCCCGACACAGAACCAGCCACACGTCCGAGGAGGAGACACAAAGTCCCACTCGACCGGGTTACAGTCCTGGCTTTGGGTCCAGCAGCAAATGCTCTCCCTGAAGTTTTCAGTGTGACAGGATGGGACACTTTCAAAGTCAGTTAGACATGCAACCTGCCAGAGCCTTGTGTAAGAACTACCTTTCGGTGAAGCAAACACACTACGATTTTGTTTGAACATCTCCAGATGTTTCTTGGTATGTACATGAGGCTCACGGTTTCATAAGGAGAAGATGAGCTGCCTGGCTGGCAGTCCCTCTGTGCACACTGGCCAGCGCAGGGGTGGGGACCTCCGAAAGCCACAACACACAGATTTGAGGCAGAGGCCTCAGGCCAAACAGTCCCGGAGCCGCGGGCCCTCCCAAAACAGATGCTGGGGAGGGAAACACGAACCCCGTCCTTAAAATTAACGCTACGACTGCAGGACGCTCATTAATCTGCCTGACTGCTTTATTGTACAAAAGTTTCCAGTAACAGTAAATTAGTTTTTAAAAAGGACCAAAAAAAAAAAGTCGCATTGGCTAGAAGCACGTCACTAATTGCTTTATTTAAGCACACAAGAAAAAAAAAGTCTTATCTGACCAATGAGCTTGGAAGGGTTTTATTACCTTTAAGAAGCCATTAGCTAGGATAAAACACTGAAAGCATTGGTGTCAAAACAAATAAATAACGCTTTCTCAATTAGCGAAGAAAGCGGCAAACCTGTTAAATTACAGACATACACTGCTTTGCTCCCACGGGAAGCCAGACCCCCCCAGCCCGAGTTAATGAAACGAGACAGCAGATTTCAGGAGCCCTGGGGCCCTGACAGTCAACACTGATGTGACGTTTCTCCTCTCCCGCCCCGGTCAGCGGGGCCACCCCGGACACAGGAAGTGGGCAGCTCCTCGGGGCGAGCCTGGACGGAAGACCGACCCGGCCTTGGCCCGCCAGGGACACTGGGGCCCCCACGACAGCTGGCCCCAGGCAGAGGACCTGGACACACCAGGATGCTGCTGATTTTTCTCTTGCTCGCCGAGCGCCGTGGCTCCCTGCCCAGGTACAGGCTCAGCAGAGAAGCACAGGGTTCGGGGAGCCAGCTGACCGGCACCAGGCCAGCCTCCGCTGTGGGACGTGGCTGTGGCGGGGGACAGCTGGGACTTCAGTGGGCACTGCCCCCGTGTCATTCGGAATGGGACGGCTCCCCCACCCCACGAGACCCTTAAACCATTTCTAATCAGACCCATTATTTTACCCAAATGGGGTGCGGGGACAAAAACCAATCCTCATTACCCTACTCGTTGAGAATAAATATAAATAAAAGGTGATTCTTTCTTACAATCACTTTCCTTCAAGACTCAGGATTTTAGACACTTTAGGGACAGTCCACTATTCCCGGCACAGTGTCTGGGAGGGAGGCCCTGACGGGGACAGCCTCACTCCTGGGAGCGGCTGGTCCGGACTCCGCCACTGGGCTGAGGGCGGCTGGGACTACAGGACGCCTGCCAGCCTCCCGGTATGCAGCGGCCCCACGTTTCAGGGACGAGCTTCTTTGCTAATAAAGGAGTGTCCGTCAGGGAATACCACGGTATGTCCCGGAATGCCAGGGCCACCTTTAGATCATCCTATGGCCACGGCAGCAATAAGAACAGCAGGGCCACCTGGCACAACAATGACTTGGGGAGGGAAGCTTGGGACAGGGGGCTGGGCATCGAGCCCATCACCTGTTTGGATGGACAACTTGAATCTCTGAACTTGAGTTCAAATTTCTAGAAACAACTTCAAAGCCAATTCTAGAGAGGTATTTCACGTGACTGTTCCAAATAAAATGTAGTACATTAAAGGTAAAAACAACAGAAAAGCCATCAAAAATGATACAAAGACCATTAAAACTCTACTCGTGTCTCGACCAATTAAAGCGTGTACGACTTAGGTTTTCAAAGTTATCATCACTTTCCACATTATTCCACAATCCCAGGAACATACTCGAGCACCATGTTGATGACAGCTCAGCGACAGAGCCTGACTTTGGCGATGTGATTCCCGCTCACGCCAACGGGGTTTGCCTGCTCAAGGTTTCCACCGCTTGCAGGAACATGCCCTGCCCACTTCCGGGGCACACTTCAAGGAGCAATGGGAGAGCCAATAAATCAAACCTCTGGTGGAATGTTCTACCTTGAAATGGAGTGATGGCTGGTTAATAATTTGAGATCCCAATGGGGTGACCCATTTGGAATGGCCTCTGTGTAAATTCACAGTTCATTAAGTGGTATCTGGTTTGAACAGGTCATTACGTAGTTAGCATATAAGTAATGGACTGAGCAAGGATGGCTGGGGCTGTGCACAGGGAAACACTGGCCGATTCCGGTGACTCTTTATGACACTGTCAAACTTCCTTTCAATGTGAGGTTAGTTCACGTCACCGACTTTTAAGTTTAGATGGTTTTGTTAAGAACCCCTTTGCTTTGCGGTAGAAAACGCAGTACACAAACTCTGGATGAGGACCACCCACCCACGATGCGTTTGAGCTCACGAGGCTACCCTCGCTGGCCCTTCTAAGCATGTTAATTCACATCCATGGCGGTGTCTTACTTTTCACACTTCGTTACCCTGATCATTAACAGTGATGGAAAAGCTAAATTAAATTGATGGGGACTGGATTATACATTTCTGAAAGGCTTCTCAGTTTGTCTTCAACTGGAAAACATACAGGTAAAGAGAGATGAAGAGGCATTTTTGCCTCTACTCGTCAATTTTTGGTACAAAATTTCTTAAAGACCAGACGGTTTTCAAAAATTTTTTTCCAAAAATTGTTTTAACATGCTGCTCAGACTTGACTGCTGGAAAAAAAAAAAAATAGCATATACACATATAACATCGAACAGCTTCTGGAGTGCCTGTAAACATTCAACTCGCTTTCTCTTCCTAAAGAAAGTACGCGATAACTGGTGACTCCATCTCTACTCTGCAGCAGCATCGAGGTCCTGAAGCCGTGACGAGGAAGGAAGAACAGAAGCCCACTCCCCTGCCTGGAGCACGAGCGTGGCCAGGAGTCCGTGGAGGCGCCCGCGGCTCAACGCGGTCCGGCCCGCACCTCTGCGACGGCCCACGGGGCGCCCAGCCCCGCACACCCGGGATGCCAGCGTGCCGCACACACAGACCCGACGCCGCTCAGCGAGACTTCACGCCGACGAGGACAACAAGGAGGACAATAATGATGACAAATAATATTAGAATCACAAGCATCTTCCGATTCTTCTTTTGATACTGCTCTGCCTACAGGTAAAGAGGAGGGAAAAAAGCAAGTCACTTCCCCCAAATCAAGTCTCGCTCGTTTCCCGTCCCAGGCTCCCGGCTCCATCTCACAGCTGACATCTGCACAGGCTACGCAATTACAGTCCCTTCCATCAGCTCACGCGGTGCGAGCTACACGCGTGGGAGGCTCCGTGACCCCAGAGCTACCTATTTTCCTAGGATTCGCTCGAGCGTGCATCTGGAACCTGCCACTTGAAACGAAGCTGTCAAAGGCAAGGTTCTGCTTCCAGGCCCAGAGGAACCGCCTCTCCTGAGCCCGTGCGGGACGCAGGTCTCCGGGGGAGCGTACGCCTCGACTATGCAATCGCACTACCGACTAATGCCGTGTGGGGGCCGATGGCCTCAGAGAAGCGGATTTCCACCTCCCTGAATCTGACGAGGAAAAGTCATCCTCTGAAATAAAAACGGGAGAGTGCTCCCCATGGAGGTCAAGTGCAGAAAGAGGCAAGTCCCTGTACTTCAGGTGACATAAAAGAGACCTTCCGGAGGAAGGGCGGTGGAGAAGACAGGCGAGGGGCCTCCAGCCACAACAGGCCCCGCCTCTTCCAGACGGCGCCGCGTCAGGGCGAGGACGAGCAGGCAGCAGAGGGACGTGCCCACGAAGACCATCCAACTTCTGTCCTCCCTCCATGTCCCCCACCAACCCGACTGGTGGTTCTGTTTGCTAAGTGAGCCGGCCCTCCCGCCAGGGCCGCCATCAACCAGGAGGGGACATAAGGACAGACAGGCTCCCCTGTCTTAGGTCAAGTCTCTGCAGGGTGACCCCCGAGGCTCAGTCATCCTTAGATGAGCTGACCTGCCAAGGAGACGGCCAGCCGTGCCACGGACAGCAGCGTCGCTTGAGGGATAAGACGGAGTACCTCACTTTCTCCTAAGTAACCCGAACACCAGGGAAGCCGCAACTAAACGATGTGCTTTAAAACCCCTCCAAATGATTTATAAAAAAGATGCTAAAAGCGTTTCCCACTATCTGTTGTATCACAAAACATGTTTCTCTAGTTTTTAAGAAACTTCAAAACCAATGCGTAATTCAGCAGCAGGTCACAACCCGCGTACTACAGTGAGAAACTAAAGTTAGTTTTGCTCGCTTGGTGACCAAATGCATCTAAATGTTGGAAACAAGCATACACGAGCAACCTCCTCTTTCTCATGGGACGTGGCAGCCTCACGCCCGCCCTGCACGGGGCGACCAGCACATGGAAGAGAGCACAGAGGGTTTCCGGGGGCCCTGGGCGGGGCCTCACTTTTTGCAAAGCTGACACTACCATGAGGGGGGCCTCTGTGCCACAGGAAGTGACTGGTTTCAGAAAAGTGACAGAGTAGTGAGTGAGTGAGTTAGAACAATGCTCAGGATGTGGCCAGAGATACCACTGGATCTGAAAGATACAAGGAAATGGACAGAATTGATTTCATCTGTGAAGTGTTATGTTCCTGTCAAAGAAAACACGCAGCCGTCACTTAGGGAGCCACTCGGCAGCATACGGGTGTCTCTCCTGACTGACCACAAGATGCTCTCTGTTTATTTCTAAAAAATGTCATGAAAAATATTCCTGAAACAGCCACCTTATTAGCAAAGAATGAGATAGCTAATAATGCTCTCACTTCAACAGACCGCTCTCTTCTCAAGGTGAGCGCACAGACGCACGGCGCTGATTAAACGGGAAGACCGGGTTTTTATCTTCTCCAGATGCCTGTCTAGCAGCAGCTCATCAGGAATGTGTCACGGCCCGAGAGGCTTACGTCAGCAGCAGCAGCAGACAGAGCGCTCAACACGCATTTCAGCAAAGGTCCACTCAACTCTTCCCTAAAGCCAGGAGACTCAAAGAATGGAATATTTCCTAAAAGGGCGAAAACCCCAATTTCTTTAGAGTTTATTGTCACAGAGGGAGTTCTCAGCCATTCCAAATCTATGTGAGGGGCGCACCTGGAAACACGACCTGCGAGCTCGGCCCTGCCTGAAGCGACGCCCTCCGTTTTCCCGCGACCACAGCAGAGCCGACAACAGGCAGGGCGCCGAGGACGGCTGTGGCGGAAGAGGACCCTCGCCCGAATTCACGACACTTGGTAACAGCTCCTCAAAGGCCCAACTACCGAAAGACAGGATGTTACCTTGCGCAGCTGTTTCAAGCCGTCTTCAGTTTTGATACAGGACTGCTCGACGTTATAATCGATTCTATCGAGGACGGAGCCCTGAGGAACGAATGAGAGTTAGAGACGGTCAACCGCCAGCCGGGGCAGCCGGGGCCCCCGGGGCACAGGGGTGCGGACCGCAGGCACCAGCATGCGCGACAAGCCAGAAAGGGGGCTGCGGAAAGCCCCGGGACCCGCCGTGCAGTGGCATCAGACACTCGGTGGCAGAGTGCTGTTAGCTGCAGTAAGGTCTGGCTCATGAGGGAAAAATCCCGACGGACTAGGGTTCCTTTATCGGGTTCGGCCACACAGGGTGTGCCACATTCGGACCGACTGGTGCTTAAAACACAAAAAGCTCAGGGCGAGTCGGCGGCGGCAAAGGCCCAGCTTCTGCGCCCGTGTGCTGCTGAGCTGCTTGGACCTGAGCAAGCAGAGCCAGCCAGCTAGGCCAGGCCTGTCACGACGGGGCCTGGACACTGACCGCCGTGTCCAGAAACATAGACGCAGGCCTCCTGGGTCGCAGCCACGACGGTGAGCTCCCGTCTGCCACGTAAAATCATACAGTTGTCTCGAGGAGAATTTTGGTTTTAATCGTTTAATCTCTTGGTTCCAATAGGGAAGAGGGAACACCAGGCCATGTGGGAGAACAGGGCTGTTAACGGAAATGCTGAGAGAGAGGACAGTTCCCCGGGAACCCCAGGGGCCATTACTGGAACGAGATCTTCCAAAGCCTTCGCACTCCATTCTCGGCTGCTTTCGGGGGGATCAGGACCCAAGTCCCTACTGGTGAAATAATAAAATACCCTAATCAGATGGTGACGGTGAATAAACAATTTAGTTCTACGTGGAAGCTAGCGGTTCCAGTCACCATCACACAGTTACCCGGCAAAATCAGAAGGGAAACCTCATCTCCTGCCAGAGTCACTGCTGAGCGTGGGCAGAGCCCGCCAGGCCCCCAGAGTCGGGCGCTACCATGGGCACCTGGGGGCCGGGAACGTAAGAACTTCGACTGACGTTTATTTATCTAAAAAAGGGCTTAGTGCGTTTTTATGAAGAACGATATTCTGTCTGTGCACACGTGTCTGTGTGTGCTCACGCATACGTAGACATATACATTTTTTTCCCTGACAGGAACATGGAATCAGAGAAGCTTGGAGACGGGCCAGAGTTTAGGGCAGGGAACCCCGCCGATGAGGAAGGTGACCTCACGTACCTGCTCTACGATCATGGCTCCTAAGTCCCTAAATATTTCATTGAGGTCGGAGATAGACTGCACGATCTGGCGGATCTCCCGCTCCCTCTCCTCCACCATGAGCGTGTTCTGCTCCACCAGCAGCAGCTGGTCGTCCGTGAAACCCTGGCAAGACAAGAGCGTGCACGGTCCGTGTGCGACGTCTCCCCTCGAGGAAGCTGCTGCACCCCCTCAGACACACTTTAAAGAAAGCGAATTCCGAACGCACTTCTCTATACACATAAACAACAATAAACACTTATTCTTCTGTAACAGGAAAGATCCGAGTCCCCCAAACAGGCGGGATCTGAAGCACTGCTGGCCAAAGCGGGGGACAGAGAGAACCTGAGACGCGCCGCCACACGGGGCTGGCTGGCAACACCGGCAGGGACAGCCCCGAGTCCTTCCCGAGTCTGCGTTCCCAAAGGTTCTGGAAGGCAGATCCCAAGGCCTCCCTGCAGCCTCTGGAAAGGAGGACGGGGCACGGCCGCCAGGCCTGTCCTTCCGCCCACTGCACGGACGGCTTGGTGACGCGCAGGTCAAGCCACGCCAGTCCGGCTGCCTGCAGACAGTCGGTCTGTGACGAGGAGGGGGCAGAGCAGAGTGGGACTGTGCGGCAGACTGCGCGGCGCCTTCACGTACCCGGTCATAGAGAGCAATATCCTCTCCATCGTCCATCAGTGGCACTGATGTATCAAAAAAATGCTGGGATCTTTCCTCTCGATTCTTCACGCCTATCACAGATAGGAATTCACTTTACTCGCACACGTAAGCCATCCTGGTCACTCTTCCACCATTAAAAAGGGGAAATCTAGGTTAAAACTCAACAATCAAAACGGAGATATTCTTAGCAGCTTTACAAGAAGCCTATCTCCCACAGAGGTGGAGGAGTAAAAGATTATAATCTTACAACGACACGCAAGCATTTCGGATTATTCAAGACAAAATGACAGTGTAAATGTGTACAATTCATTTGATGCCAAGCGAATGACAAAATGACGCTTAAAACCATCTGAGAATCTCTAAGTGAAGCAGAAATATTGACTCTATCTGCTGTTAAAAACATTTTTTAAAAATCGATATTTTTCTCTAGAAGCATCTCTAGTAAGAATTCCAAATGGCCGTAAATCAAATTTTAGAATAACATTAAAACAAAAATATGCCAGTTGTTGGAGGGAGAACTAGTTTTTCTGGAGTGTGTGGAGATATTATTGATTACAATGGCAACAAAGAAAAAAACCAGTTCACAAGGTAATCAGAATGAGGACATAGCTGTACCCGACTCTGTGCTATTTGGGAAGAAAAGGCAGGCCTGTGTGGGGGTGGAGCTGCACCCCCAGGAAGGTTCCCCCAACTCTCAGATACTTTGGTTGTTTTGCAAACACAAGCTTTAATGGGATTGCGACTTTTTACCTACTTATTAGCCGCTGCCCGGCCCCCTAACATCTAGAAAGCTACAGGCTTTGAAATGCTGGCCTGAGCGCCAATTTCTCGAAACTTGAAGAGTGAGCTTCCTGGTGTCAGCCTCCATCTGCATCATGCACGATTTCGCAGAGGGGTAGGGGTGCTTGAAAACCAACGAGGACAGGGACAGCACGAACTGGAGCCTTAGCAGCCAGAGAGAAGCAAGCGGGCCGGGTGGCCGGGGCGGTCACTCACGTCGCAGGTAGCCGGATTGTGCGTGCCGGAAGCCGGCGGACAGCTCCTGCAGGGCCTGGGCCAGGGAGGCCACCACGTTGCGCAGCAGCCGCTCCTCCTGCACCGAGCAGGCCCTGCGGGCCCGGCCGGGCAGCGCCTGCACCGCCCGCTGGCACCTGTGGAAGAGCTGACGACAGGCCGGACTCAGCCAGGGCCACGAGGAGCCCAGGGAGACACACGAAGTCTGTCCGCACGGGCTGGCACAACGGGGCACGGAGCACCGCAAGCCGAGGCTCAGTCCACACGTGGCAGCCCGAGCCAGGTCTGAACGGGCGCCAGACACACCGTGCTGTGCGACCGGCCCCCAGCGCATCTGTGCCCCGCTGCCATGTGTCACTACGCCTGCATCCCTCTCATTTCACCCGTCCCTGCCACTGCCACCGTCCCAGGAGGCAGGTGCTACGATCATTACCCCCACTCTACAGGCGAGATTAACTGAGAATCACGCTATTGTCACACTGCTGAGAGCCAGGCCTCAAACACGCCAAGGTCCCAGGGCACCTTCCACACCTCACCCCTCACCTCCAGCTCCCAGGGGACAGAAACAAGCACAACATGTGACCGCTGAAGCTTAAACACGAGTCATAAGGAAATTTCTTAGGATACTAATATACTGTCTCGGGAAACAGCTCCCAACCTTTTCAGTTACGAGGGCCATTTTTAACATAAAAATGTTTAAACGCTAGGATACAATAGAATTGTACGTTTTAAAATCAAATGGCTAAAGCTCCAGGTTTAATTTTTAAAACCAATCCACAGTAGTATCGACCAACCGAATACTGTCCCCATTCCCCAAGACACGTGGCTGACACGTGGAAGAGCCCAGGGCCTCCTGAAATCCCTCTGGGAGCCTCAGGCTGGGCAGTGAAGCTCTAGGGCTGCCTTGCCATCTGGTTTGGAGTTGTGGCACAGTGCGGCCTTTGAGGTGCTTGTGAGAAGGCTGGGAAGTAAACGCCCATGTCACCTGGAGTCCATCTCACCTGGGTGATCTCTTGGGTGGTTATTTCGATGGCATGCTCTTGCTCACTGCTGTCGTCCAGGGTGGGTCTGTTCAGATGCTGGTCGTGAAGGCTGGCCAATTCTTTCATCTTCTGTTTAATCCGGCCCACATCGTATTGGATCTAAACAAACGACACCAGCACAGCTCTGCTGATGCCTGCCTGGCACCTGCCTGCCTCCAGGAGGACCAGCTGCACACGCAGTGCAGGTCCAAGCCTCGGCAGGCCTGCAGGCTGGCTGACGCATGAGCAACTTTTAACTCAAATACCACTCTTCCTTGTTATATAGTTCTTCAATTTCTTTCTAAGGTTCAGGTAGCTACCACTAAGACAAAGCACTAACGCGTGTGCACACACTCACTCCCCTTGTGTGCACACTGAGTAAATCAAAAGAAAAGCTAAAGTTTTTCCTGGGTCGTGCATTCAGGGGTAGCCCAATCAGTTTTTATGGAGAATAACTTCAAATATGTTAGTGTCGTAATTACTGAAATAAATCAGATAGTGTGAAACTAACATCCAACTTACTTCATCCACTGCATCCACCCACTTAGGAGGGGACCGTTTTGTCACGGCGATTGCTGCTTCTGGGTCTAAGCTAATGCCCGACACCAGAGCCATGCGGTCGTCAGCGAGCTACAGGGAAAGAAAGGGACATCACAAAAATTATCCGAACTCGCGTCAGATGAGCACACACTTAGCCCCTCCCGAGTGTCGCTCCCTGAGACAGAGATGGAGGCGGAGGCGCCTGCGACACAAACTTGCTCTGACGCTGCTGAGATTCAGAACTGGTTTCCTGTCTTCTCGTGCACCAGTTCTTCATTTCCTTGGACATATTAGTGAACATGAACTTGACTTGATCTGGCTACATAAATGTAATGAAAAAGCCAATAAAAGACCCTTAAGAGAAAGACCTCCTAGCACAATGACAGTATGGCATTAACATGGTCAGACAAACGTTAAGAAAAAAATGCCAGCGACAAATGAAATGCACAGTTCTCAATAGCGGCAGGGTTTACTTACACACATTTAGCTTAGTTTGGAAACAGGGCTGAGCCAGTTAACTGAGTCACAGGACCATTAACCATGCGCTAAAATGTGGGAAAGAACAGCTTAACCGGTCAGTAAATTCCCCCCATCGGGCAAAGGCGAGCATGAAAATCCTGCTGTGATCTTGCACTGTCATTTCCTTTCTTCGGTGAAATATCCGCAGGCGACAGTTTCACTTATTTTGAAATGACACCGTGGTTCTTGTTTATTTTACCTGCATAACACACTGCCTTGGATGGGGAGGGTGGGGGCGTGGTCTGGGGCTCCATTATGCTCACTGGAGGCAGTGAGCAGGGGGTCCAGAGTGTGGAGGGGCCCGCCACAGCTCTGAATGTACAACTGCCAGTTTTAAAAGATCCAAATGATGATCAAAAAACAATGGAAAACAGCACATGAAAGCCTCTTACAGGGGATACTTTGTAAATTTGCTAAATCACCCTGCAAACCCAGGAATTTACATTGCTCCCCTGCTTCCCTGCATTTACCTAAGTTTACTTCTGCATTCACGCAGCACACGCCTGCTTTTCTAACAATAAAGGAACAAGGCAAAAAATTTTAATCTACAAACGAAGGGGAAAAAATATCACTTAAGAAGAAACCTAAATTAAAGGAAATCTTCGAGTAACATGCCTTAAATTCTGAACACGGAGGCTACGGCAAAGTCTTAGAGGCAACCAGGGTCCTGCGCTGCTCCCCCTGGTGCCCCTGCTGTGGTCCTGCCCCCATTCCCAGGGCATTCCCTGGATTCGGGGAGCACGTCTTGCAAGACCACCCACCTGCAGGTGGTGATCAAGTCCATCGCCACGTGAGCTCGACAGGCTTCCCCTCCTTTCTCAAACAGAGCGGGGTGCCAGCCAACCTGCACTGTCTGGGGCTCTGAGCCCCTGAAGTGCTCATTCTCAACCACCGCCACCTGCTTGAAGAGTTCACTAACTTTACATTTTTTATGATTTTAATCCTCACAAAAACTAGGTGAGCTAGAAACTATTATTCCAATCTATAAATGAGGAAAGTAAAACTCAGAAAAATTAAGTGCCTTGCCCGAGGTCACAAAGTTATTAGAGACAGATTAAAACCTGGGTTGGCCGAGTCCAGAAGCCCATCCGCTCCACAAGCTGCCAATCACTTTGGTAGGCCCCAGAAACACAACTGCAACTTGCTAAGAAGACAAATCAGGACAACAGGCCCTCGGATTAGAACTACAACACGAACCACGGTCCACAGTCCACACCCACTCCTCACCACATAGCGTCAACAGGACGCAGCCTCCCTCGCTGACTGCATGCGGCTGTAGGGACGAGGTACAGACCTCATTCACACACGGCAGGCACAGACAAGGAGAGGCAGAGCTGTTCATTCCTCAAAGGTCCTGCTCCCAAGTCACCAAGAGGAGTGACTATGTGGAGGGCACACTGACCAAGGCACAGGGAACGAAGCACACGTCCAGCTCCCAGCATCTACCAGCTACATGGCAGGTGCTGGACAGAGCTGCTGCCTGGGGCAGAACTTGAACCTGAACCTCCAGCTGTTTATACAAAGCAAAACCTAAAGCTGCTAAGTGCCTTCTGACGGGATGCAGTGTTTCCACTCTGCCAGTTTGTTATCTAACCCACTACGCTTTATGACTCCACTGCATTTCAACAGAGTAATAATAATAATGTTTTATGTATAGTTTTTAAACTCACGACCTTATTTTGCACTCTTTTTACTTTTTACAAATATACATTAAACTAAAAAAGATGTATAGAGATGGTATTTATCTAAATTCATGTGCGTAGTAATTAGTATCAATTTATCTGAAACAAATGAGAAATTTTAAATCACGTATTTTGAAAAGCCAATTGAAATGAACTCAACTCTTCTAAGCTGTGCTTGATTTTATACAATAGATGTGCCCCCACCCCAGAAAAAGCACACATGAACCAAAATCGGGGAGAACACCCTCTGGTAAGCACCTGCCCCCATGGGAGGGGACAGGGACCAGCCCATCTGGTTTCCCCACATACCGGATTGAGATCTGGCCGATAAGACAGAACGGCTGATCCTTTGGGGCTGCAAACTTTAGAGAGGGAATGATTTGTCTCCCTTATGATGTAGCTCGTCAGGATAGAGAAAAGCAGCCCAGCTCAGAAGACACGTGTCATCTACTTCATCGGTGCGGATTTGTAATATGTATCACAGTATGTACTATGTATTTTTAAAAAAGACTATGTTTTGGGAAGGGAAAACATAATTGAAGAGAAATGTCAATTATTTAAATGGGAACAACTATGAACATAAAAATTACATTTTAAGTGTAAAACAATCACCCTTTCAATTTCAGAAATCTCACTTCCCATTTAAAAACATGTTTTCTCATTTTTTTAAGATCCAGGATGTATGTTTTCAAGTTGCCATCCTAGTCAATACAGACCTTGAAATTAAAAGCTGCCAGATTTTTAATTTTCTTTACTTATCCTTGCTGAATTTCAACTTAGTCCTCCCTCCAAATATGATATTGCTCCTTAAAGCCTTTCTTAAATGAACTTGTGCTTCTAAAGTCAAAAAAACTATATTTCCATATTTCTTAAAATAAGGAAATTTTTTTAATAAAAAATTGTAGTTAGAAGAATTAAGAATTAAGAATTCTTGTCTTTCATTGTAGCTCTGTCCTCCAAGAACTATGGGGGTACAGTGCCCTAACCCCAAGTCATCTAACTCAATTTCTTCAGCGCAGGAAAATTCTAACAGATGCTCAGAACAGCACACCTAGAAAGCTTCTTGCTGGTTTCACTAAAGTTATCTTTTGCCCTTGATCCACTTCAGACACTGACAGACATGCCCCTGAAGAGCACCAGACAGTATGGTCTTACTATACAGAAGGGACTCTCGCTCTGTCTCTGTCTCTCCCTCCCTCCCTCAGTCCCTCCCCCATCCCTCTTTCTCTCATAAATCTTGCTGTTCCGAATATACAGCCTTCTCATAAAACCCTGCCTTCATGAGAAGGTTGATTTAGTGAACTGTATGACTAAGAAAGTGGCAAAGCTTCCGTAGAGATTAGAAAAGTCAGACACGTCCCCCATCTAAAAAAATAAACGATGTTCAGCCGTAACGCACTGCCAATCAGAAACAACGCTGGCAACTCTGGACCGTCTGTGGCAACGAACATTTTCACAGTCCAGAAGGGACGCTGAAAATGACAGCCTGGTGACTCTCGCCTCCACGTGGGACGATCTAGGAGCATGAATGACGAAGTCAGACCACAAAGCATAACTCACTGGGCTCAGAAGGCTCGATGACCTCACTAATCAACAATGAGGCTTAAGAAACCTCAGTTTCTGGAGGGAGTGAACAAATGTTTATGACATTTTATTGACTTCATTCATTTACTGCGTGTATGACAAGTGGGTAAAAAGAATCGGGGATGTCAGCACTACAGTTTTGTAAATCTGCGATAGCTTTAAAAGTGTTGACTTTTTTTGATTATGAAACAATGTCCAAAAGAGACATCTCTTAAATGTGCAAAAAATATAGAAATAAAAAAATCTGAGACTGCACCACCCAGAGGCAAAGGCTGCTAGTTTAGCGGATTCTCCTGTTTTCTTGACTGGGATCGGACACCCTTAGATAAAGCAGGTAGGGAGCGACAGCTGCTCGTGCTGCCGAGGCCACCCTCCCTGACCTGACCTTTCCGGTGTCAACATCAGGCCTGCAGAGGGGATGCTCCTTGCTTTAAAATCATGGACGCTGAGACTCTCCCGAAGCTACCCGCGGTGGAGGGACCCGTGAGCCCGGCCCATGGCCCACCGTGTCCCCACTGTTTCGCCCTGCCCTCTCCAAGCCATGTGGTTTGGGAGCTCGACATTTACTCCTTGTGATTTTTTAATCCTTCCTATTTTGGATTTTAAAAGAGCAACGACCTGGGAGATGACTGCCCTAGGAGGGGACTAGACTGGACAGGGAGCGAGGAGAGGGCCGGTCGCTTCTCTGGCGGGTGACAGCGGTGAGCGATGCAGCACCTCTGGGAGAATGCAGGCTGGTCCCCAGGACGCAGACCCTCGGGTTGGTCTAGAGAGGAGAATGACACACTCCCAGGGAGCGACTGCGGGGTTGGCTCAGGCCTCGCCATGAGCGGGTGGTCACTTTCCCTATTCCCAGAGGGCACAGAGGGGAAGCCCTCCTGCAGCCCTGGCCAAGCGAGGCCCCGCCACCAGCACCCACAGCGCCCAGCTCGTGGCTCAGGACAGGCACTCGGTGACAAACACACGGCCGCCATGAGCTGAATGGGTCAAAATAAATGGTCAGGACGAATGAATGAGCGGAGTAAATAAAGTCTGCCATATACAAATCTGGAAGCTAATTCATAAAACATAGAATGGTTCTGGGCAAAGAACAAGAAGGGCCAGTGAACTCCTCAGGGGCGAGTGGCTGTGCAGACCAGGACGGAAGCCAGGACCAGGGTCCCGGGGATTCCAATGGCACGTGGAATGGGGTGTGTGGTGGACAGAGTGGCTCTCCACGTGGGGTCTCGGCTAACAGCATGAGGAGACCCCCTTAAACGCCCAGAGGCTAGGAACAGGGACAGGGCGAGGTCTGCTGGCCCCTCCAGGGCCGGCCGGCTTGGGGCACCTGCTGCCCAGGAGGATGCGCTCACACTGCGGACCCCGCGGCAGGCACGGCTGCGGCACGCCCCTCGTGTGTAAAGTATTCAAATGGTTCTCCAGCCTAAGGGGGTGCTATTGTCCACTCTCTTCCCCCACCAAACACTCCCTTTTTGGGGCCACACTTCCAAACTGTTCGGGGGGGTCGCACCTACTCCACGAGGCCCTCGAAGCCCCCGGCCCTCGCACCTTTTGACTCGGTGAGCAACGCCGCCGCGTCCGCTGCACCCTGGAGATGCTCAGCTCTGCAGTGTGGGGGCTGAAGTGGCTTGTCAGCCCCCCAGGGCCCAGGCCAGTGCTGGCCCGGGGCCCCGCACTCAGTCATGGCCACAGTACCTGGCCCGTTGAGCTACTGGCTCAGGGTTCGTTTGGAAATACTAATTGTTTTTAATGACAAAAGTAATACATGCACGTGATTTAAAAATATGTATCCAATCTAAGAAAAAAGTGCACAACACAAAGGACGCTTCCCTTCCAACCCAGACCCTCCCGGGAGCTACCGCTGTTTACAGTCCCTTGTGTCTCGCTTCAGAAAATTTCTAGGTACAGACAAGCACGAGTGAGCATTTTTCTTAAAAAAAAAAAGAGAGAGGAAGGAAGGAAGGAAGAAAGGAAGGAAGGAAGGAAGGAAGGAAGGAAGGAAGGAAGGAAGGAAGGACGGACGGAAGGAAGGGAAGAAAAAGAAAAAAGAAGGAGAAGCGGGGCCACCACCTCGTCCACAGTTCTGCGCCGGGCCTTTCCCACGGGCGCCGTCGGGGGCCACCGCGCCGCCGCCTCCCAGGCGGACCACACACGGCCGCCGTGTGGGGACCGAGAAGCGCCAGGCAACTGGCTTAACCGGTACAGACAGTCCCCTTGTCCTGTCCCTGCTTGTCCCCTTGTCCCCGTCTCTCTGCTATTAGCAGCCGGCTGAGGTTTTTACAACTTACAGGTAGATCTTAATCGACTAGTTTTGAAGACAGTCCCCCAATCCCACCTCACTGCCATACTTCTAAATCAAATCAAACCAAAACAAACAACGCTCCCCCCACGATTACTCTTTAAAATTACTCGGGAAAAATATTTTTACCCCTTCACCGCTGAAGGAGAAACATACAAAATTAACCATCACAGTTCGATCTCCTTTTCCCTCAACTCTCGCATCAGCGCTACTGGAATAAAGTGCTATGAACATGGACTTGCTCCATCTTCTGGATGAATCGCTAATAAGTGATGAAAATGCCCAAAGGTGCTGCGAGGCAGGGGGCAGAGCAGGGACAGTGCAATGATTAGCTCAGTTGGCATGGAGGGTCACTGCTTCGTCCCTAGCAGGGGCCCTGAAGACCCCTCACAGGCGGGGTGGCCTTCCGCCCACCCCCTTGGGGCCTGCGGCAGACAGCGCCACCTTCACGCTCCACCTGGGCCACTTCGCAACACCTCTCTGGGAAATCGAGGCACTTACACACATAGCCCAGGGACAGCCTGGATTCCGTTACACTCGAGGGAACGTTCGCCCTGCGCTACTTCCAGGGTGAGCTGCTCCCCCAAGGGCAGTGAGGGACGTTCCCAAACCCGTCCCGAAGTCGCCCACTCACCTGTGTGGAAATACAGTCAATGAACCCTAAGTGACGAACTGTTAGACACAGTAATTACAAGGAATCAAAGCAAACGCTAAAGTCCGGGTAAGCCCTGTCGGCATTTCATACATGACCAAAGACTAGAAGAACAGGCATCAGTTTATGATCAGACAAAAATATATTTAAAACACTATACCTCATCCAGCTCCTGAAGAGATATGTTGTGTCCATGAGTCCCATCCAGTTAGGGACAGCGAAAAGAAAGCATGATGGGGACAGACAGACAGATAAGGTATGGTCAGTTGAGAGAACACTGAGATTTTAAATACCTCTAAAGTTGACTAAAATTAAAGACCCATTAACCAAGGCATTTAAAAACTCTCCCCCCCATGATTCTTTCTCTTTTTTTTTTAAGTTACAACATGTTTTTTATTTTTATTTACTGTAATTGTTGTTTTGGAAAGGATAGAAAACAAACAATAGTTATAAAAATTAAAACAATAGAAACAAATAAAACACACTTGCTCTAGCTGCACTAAAATGGAATGCTAATCTGTTTCATACATATCGAATATCACATATAATATTCTAAGTTTCCTTTAGGAAGATAAAACGAGAGCAAAGCTGAAATGTAATTTTACCATGACAAATAAATCTATATTTTAACACATAAATAGGTCTGGCAAATGCGGCAAACTTAGAAAATGAATGACCCGCAGAAAGTGTCGATGGCTGCGTTCCGATAACACTGCGTGCCCACACGTGCATGGTCTCTACAAGTTCACTACCGCAGACACGGCTTTCTCCGTGGCCGTGAGCGAGCCGGGAAACCACTCTCCCCGGGAGAGAGACACAGGTGGTGAAGGAAAATGCTTCCCCTTTGCTTGGCATATGTTACTGTTAGTCTGGAAAGCACACAGTTATTCCTAAAGCTATTTATTATAAAAGCAAGTAAACAAAACCAAACAGATAAGGAGAGAGATTTTTTTAAGGAGTAGCAGGAAAAAGCCACGGCAGCCAGAGGATTAAGTTTCAATTTAAAACTGAAGGTTCTTTTTTAGATCCACCGGGAACTCTCTTCTGAACAGACACTTACTAATGATAGATAATCTACACAACAAGGTCTGGTTTTTTTTTTTTTTTACAGTATTGATCACTGAAATAATTAGTGGTGAATTTCAATAGTCCACTGTGTTGACTGTTTTATGCTTAGCAGTAAATTTAGAAAATAAAACATAACTTCCTTATTTAAAAATTAATAATGTAAATTAAACTGGTCTATCAGGGCCAAAACATTATTAAACAATGACAGCAATAAAAAATGTAATCAAACAAACATTCCTCCATGTAAAAATCCAATTAGCTGACATTAGAGAAAGCTGAAAGTCCTCTTCACCCTCTCCACAATCTGCTAGGGGAGCGAAGGAGAACCGTATTTGTATATGCACCGTCAGAACTACAGTGCTAGAAGATGCTAACAGAGAAGACAGTATCAAATGGAAGTCTGATTTAATTACCTTTTACTTTAAAAAGAAAAGGAAATGTTTTTATTTTCTAAAAGCTTAACATTTTCAGCAAGAAATCACCGGAGTGTTTTTATTCGTAAAGCAAGACACCAGGCAGACCCGACTTCGGTATCTCGCCGTGCACATTGCCGCCTGCAGCGGCTCCTTGGCATCTAAGCTTTGAACAAAGTATCACTGCAAACCCTGCTTGCATCCCGGATCGTTAACCAAGCACACGCCCTGATCTTCTGGTTTCTACAATTACTGGTTGATAAGAGGTGAAATCGGAATCCCAAGCTAGACTTTATTTTTACAAACAAGAAAAACAAGCTTCAGAATGTGTAAATCCACTTCCCTGGAGTCCCAGAGCTTGTTCATGGCTGGGACAGGGACAGATCCAGGTGTTCAGGCCTCTTCCAGCCTCTGTGATTTTATTAACAATGCAGGGAATGACCAGGGAATTACCAGGCAGCTGCCACCGCACCACGTGGGGAACCGAACTCAGAAGGTCATCTGTTTTAAGAACCCCCTCCCCACCCAATTTTGCCAGTTAAAAACAGAAGGCTTTCAAAATCCCCCCTGCCACCAAATTCCAGAAAATTCTGTCAAGATCTGAATTAAAACATTTAGAATTTCCATCAGGAAAACCCAAAATACAGCCAAATGAAAATCCGTTACTCCACATCATCACCTTCTAAATCTTTATAACGTCTAAATCTAGGTTTCTGACCTGCCAATGGCATACAATCAAGCAAATACTGAAAACTCCAAGTGGCATGTGGAATTTATAGTCTAAAGAACTTTCTACATAAAACTGAAAAAATAAGTGGAAACCCATCTGTGTTTACTCAGGACGTCTGGAAAAGTTGAGTAAAATGAGTTGGAAATACAGGTCTATGCTATAGTGATATTTACTTTATTTCCGTTACTGCCAAAATAAAAGTTTGCTTCACTTTTATCCAACAAAGTACCCTTATTCTCGAGTAAGCCTCACTGCTCAAATGGAATCTTTAGAAGCAGAAAAGCAAATAGATCTAAAGAGAAATATACAATGATTTCATACTTGGATTCTAAAGGCAGAGAACTAATTTTCCAACAGACTCAGCCTGGACTAAAACTTATAACCTTTAAAATGCAAGTTAAAATGAACACTGTATGGCTCTGAAGTGAGATGCCATCCTATTGTAAGAAACAACAGGTCCTTGACCTTTCCAGGACCTGCAGCACAAGCCCCGGAAAGGCAGCCAGGCCTGCTAAGTGCTGTGGCCCCCCCAGGTCCGCAAGGGCCCGCATTCCCATCCCAGTGAGGTGGGTGTCACTGGGCACGTTTCCAAACTCCTCTAAACCTCAGTTTCCTTGATCCGTATCATGAGAAAAACAAAGCCTATTTGACAGGGCTCCGTGAGGATAGAATGAGGCCGTGTGTTTGGAAAGGGCTTAGCCCAGTGCCAAGCGTGTAGTAAACACTCAATAAATCTTAGCTGATATTACAGTCACGACTGAAAAAAGACCTCAGGTTTCTTATAAACATAACTAATCCCTAGTTTCTTTTTTTTTCCCCCTAAAGCACACCACGTTTTATTAAAAATAATGTGTTAGTTTCGAACTAATCTAAGACCAATTAACTCTAGCTTCCATTTATAAATTATGCATTATTTTAGAGCAGAAACTAGATCAGGAAGTAAACACTAACAAAGTAGCTCCAAGCCCTCTATCAGATCGTTGCAGGAGATCACACAAGTCACACAGCACCTCATCGGATGGGGACAGCAACTCGGCATCTACTTTCCATTCATTTTAGACTACATATTTTTTTAATGATTATTTAACTTTGTAAATTCACTTCAGATTCTCAAAGCCAAGCTGCCTGTAACTGCTTGAATGAGGTGCTGCCTTAAAACCTGCCCCTGGCTGATACAATGTCAAAATCATTTTTGCACAGCATTGGGGTTACTTCCAAGGATTTCTGCAAGTACCACTGGACTAAGAGGTACGGCAAGGCTGTTGACCATGCATTTCTCCTTTGCAAATGCAAAGCTGAGGCTGTGTGCCTTGGTCAGGAGAAACGATGTATCAAAACGGAATTTAGAAAGTATTGTGGAATTCTTAGGGCCCCTAGGAAACACCCAACTCACACCCCTCAATTTACAAGCAAGGCACAAGATGTCCAGAAAGAGTAAAAGCTTGCCTAAATGCACATTCCGAGTCAGCCTCAGAGCGAGACTTGGCCCTCAACCCCCAGACTCGAGTCTGATGCTCTGTCCTTTATCTCATGCTGCCCTAAGACACGACCCTGACTGGGCATCCAAAACTGAGGCCAGAACGGAACGAAGGAGAAATCCCAAGAACTGTTTGATTTTCGCTGACAGGCTAAAAATCAAACCCCAGGGTTTTTAACAATTAGTTTCACTAATATCAACAAAACAAGAACACAAGTAGAATTTTGTTCAGTTCTCGGTGCTAAACTTCAAAAACGGACACAAAAACTAGATTTCATTCAGAGTCGAGAAACTGAACTTCAATGTCTGAGCTGGTCTGAGCTGACAGCTGAGCTGAAGCAAGCTCCGCGGACAAGAAGGTGTGGGGTCATCGTGTAGAAGAGGCTTCCTGTGTCAGAGACCCTAAGGGTCAGAGCTGGAGCTAGGGCCATAAGACACAAGATGAAGACACGGCTGGGGTTAGCACAGGCAGAGACGCTTTTGGTATAGTACAGAAGGTGGGGGGACGGCTGCTGGAATGTGCTGCTGGCATATCCCACTGCCACCCCAGAACATGCTCAAGGCAGGCGGACAAAGGGGTTTGTCACAGTGGGGGTGTTGGGTTGAAGGACTTTTAGGTCCCTTTTGGCCCTTAGGACTTTTGGTATGTTTTGTCACTGCACATCCTCTTGAAATCCCTATTTAGCTGTGACATATTTACCTGAGTGCCGCACAGACCTGTTTTAGTACGCTGTACAGGCAGCCAAAATAACCCCCTCACCACCAACCAATTTCCAGTTTTCCCCTCAAACTAGGATGCAAAAAATGCCTGTTTAAATTTTTTGAATGACTTTAGGTGTGCTTAATTTCGAGTTGTGTGAATATACACACCACTTTACAACCAATTTCCACAGCTTTTTCCTTAAATAAAGATGTGACAATTCAGGTTTAAAGCTAAAAAACAAAAACCAAAAGCAACTTCTATTCTAGGTATCATTTATTCTCAGCTGTGTGTGAGATAACAAACACACACAACGAAATGAATTTCCACAGCTGTTTCTTCTAACTAGGAACTAAAAACTTCAGGTTGTAATTTTTTAAATTAAGTTAAACTCTAGAGTTCAGTTACTTCCTTTTCATTACTGAATGTTAGACAATTATTTACCAATTGTCTCCTTTTAATTGTTCTGCTCATGTTCTTAACGTAACAGGTATATATTTCATTTTTCTTTATAACTTTTTAAACATACAGAAAAGTATGTAAAAAGGTACAGAATCTCCCCACAAATTCATCACCACACTTAACAATTAGTAACACTTTGCCTTGTTTTTTTATCGGAGGGGGAGTGAGAATATGAAGTGATATTCTGACAGTTCACACCTCTGTAACAAAATTAATTAATTAACTAGTTGAATTAATTAACCATTTCTTAATATCACCTGAAACCCAGCCCATATTCAAATTTGACAGCTACAGTTTTATTTGATTTGCTAAATGGTTTTGAAACTTATAAGTCAAAAATGAGGTTTCAAAATTTTTATGAGCTAGATATGCAGTGAAAAACATTGCATGAGTTATTCAATGAAGTTTTTAAAAATTGTGTTAGACAAGGGTTTTTCCCCCAAACGTCTGTAACTGTTCCGATTTCCAGAAAAGTTGAAAAAACTGTACCCTCTACTTAGTCAGGTAACATCGTGCGATGTTTGATGGCTCGTGTGTGTAGAAATCATTTCTGTAGAATCGACTGTAAGCAAACTGAAGATCCATTTCACCCCTAAACACTTCAGAAATTTATGACATGCCATGTGCTTTTTAATGCACACAAATATATAAATGTGTTTTCTTTTTAATTCTAATAGAGGCAAACCATTTTTGTTTAATTGCAAAATATATTTTTTAGATAGTCTAAATTGAATACAAAAGTATTTAAAATAATCTGATGGCTCCTAATGATCTGAAAGGTGTTAATTGGTCAGACTAATGTAGGTACCAACATTTTAAACGGCATAACATACAGTAAATACCTTTTAATGTTCTGACTTAGACATGTAGTTTAGTTTTAGAAATCTATTTTCAAGAAATTGTCTGAGTTACTTAAAATATATCTATACATTTTGACATAACCTATTTTTCCAAATTGTGTACTTTAGCTATTTCTTAATTATTTGACTTAGCTTATATATTTTTAATTGACCTAGAAAACCATGTAAAAATCGGTCTGAGTTAAAGTTGCACTTTTTAAATGCTGCCCGTCTCAGACACCAGGTTTTAAAACTGTCTGACCTAATGATTAATAATAAAAACTTCTCATGTTACCTATCGTTTCAGGCTGCTTTAAACCTTATAAAAATGTAAAAGCAAACAATTTTTTTCAATCTATTAAAACCGATACCTCAGAAACATTAATATGAATTTCAGCTGTTTTTTTTTTCCCCCACGAGGTAGCATAGGTAGCACAAAATCAATCCGTTTAAGGAACCTGTAATGTTTACACCTTCTTGAACAAAACTCAAGTTCCAATGTGGAATTTTATTCATTCAATTTCCACTCTCTAATTCTAGTCTTATTTCAGAATACTCTTTTCAAAATTAGCGCTGGAATCAGCCCATTTCCATTTTACACTTATTTCAGTATAATACCATTACTTTCAGTTTACAAATGCAAAAAAATCCCTCAAAATCTTAAGTAAATAAAAACCTAAACACTCCGTCCCTGTTTTCCGTGATTTTTTATCTGAGTATACGTGATTTTATTCCTAAAACTGCTCACACGGCATAGAACAGCTCTCCTACAGGAGCAATATGGCCAAAGACATTTTCCACTGGAGATTTACAAAAAGGAAAAGCTGCCTCAGTAGACAAGTCTGTCAATAATTAAGACACATGGCATCATTTTTTTCTGAAGCATTTAAAGTCAGTAAGAACAAAAATTAAAAGGCAAGACAACCCCCTAAGAGGCGAAGTGTGAGATTCCCAAAGCCGTGTGTTTCCACTACAATCCCCAAGAATCTGGGATGACTTTATTCCTTTATTCCCTCCTCATTTCCCCTTCCTTCAGGGCAGCTTCTATTCAAACCTGCCCTGTCTACATACAGCCAGGAGCCCCCACTACAGATTAGTTTCATTAGTTCACTTTTCCATTTAAGATATTACAAAGCTGATCATGGTTGTCTCATACAGATCGTCCAGACCCCCCCTTTTGTCCCCCTTTATTTAACAAAGCAGAAAACTGAGGCTCAGAAAGGGAAAGTGGCCCTCGTCAAAAACAAACAGGGAAACATCAGTCATCTTTCCAGCCCTCCCTACAAAAGATTCCACCTCTGGGCTAAAGGTTCAGGTTAATTAAATGAAAAAAAAAAAAAAAAGGGCTATTTAGGGGTTCGTTTTCACAAACACACATTTCTGGGGGGGCTTTTTTTTTTTTTTTAAGTTCGAATGGAGGGAAAATGCTTCATTTCCTGTCTGGGAAATGGAAAACGAAGAACCCAGCACCTTACGGTCTCACAAACATGAGCCCCCAGGAAAAACAGTGAAGCAAATTATTCATAGGGAACACGGCCACACAGAGGGCTGCGAGGCCATTAAAAGAAAAAGAGAGAGGGGGGAAAAAAACACACACACAACTCTTTTCCTCGTTTGGGGGAGAGAGCCGTTCATCTAATAGGATTTGGGTCTGCGATCTTGCAACGCAGCCCTTAGAACCAAAGTGAGGCCCAGAAAGGGGGGGGGGGAGGGAGGGGTCAAACAAAA